TGAGAAACCCTTAGCGGCTTAGTCCATGAGCCTCATAAGCCTGGTGCCTCAACAGCCCTAATCTGATCCCAAAGGATGGAGATTCTAGAGAGCAACTGATCTTCAGTCCAGATTGGAATGCTGAAGCTGGGTTTTGATGTCCACAAAGGTTGGCAGCGACAGTGCAGAAATGATTCCTTGGAGCTTCCTCAGGATCTGTCTCTGTGTTTCCAGTCTTTGTTGACTGGGGACAAATGTTTCCTCCGTGGTCCCGAGAGAAGTACCTGGACTTAGTTACAGACAGATTGGAAGTGCTCTGAGAAATGGGGTCTATTGTCTTTCTTCAAGGCTATCCTGCCCCCAGGTCCTGAACGTAACCAGTGGCAGTAGGAAGGGGTGTGTGTGACAGATGGACACACCAAGTTTCCATAAAATCAGGCATATTGAAGAATTTCTTTAAAAAGGAATTTATTTTTGCGCTCTCTCTCTCTCTCTCTCTCTCTCTCTCTCTCTCTCTCTCTCTCTCTCTCGTGTGTGTGTGTGTGTGTGTGTGTGTGTGTGTGTGTGTGTGTATGTTTCTGTGTGCCTGTGTAAGCACACATACATATGTGCATGAGGGCCAGAAGAGGGTGTTGGCTCTCTGGAACTGCACTTACAGGCTCTTGGGTACTGGGAACTGACTGCTCATCCTCTGAAAAAGTAACAAGTGTTCTTAACCAGTGAGCTACCTCTCCAGCTCCTATTTAAGAGTTTTCAAACACAATCTTCCTTTCTGAGGAGACAAAAGGCTTTTACAATAATAATAGGCATAGGCACTCTACATCAATCATGATTAAAAAGTTTGCTACAGGATGGAGCCCTGGTCTTATACCCAGTGTCCCAGTCCAGTCTAAGAAGCCTCACCTATACCTGTGCACTCCCAGTCTCCAGGCTTGGGACAGGATACACACTCTGTCTGCTAGACTTTGCCCTGATAAGCCCTTTGTCATTTTCATCTCCCAGGCCAGCCCAGCCCAAGCCTGCTGAGCTCATCTTCCTAATCCAAAGGCTTCTATGCCTACCCCAGTCCTCAAGTAGAGCCCAGGTACCACACACAGTGCTTCAGTTAACTCAGAAGCTGTGCCTTCCAAAGCTTCATGTTTGGGCCAGGATACATATCCCGTGTGACAATCCAGTCTGCTGTGTCCACAACAGAACACAACTAGCCAAAAGGTCCCCATGCTCAGGTCTCATTTAAAAAATACAGCAGTGTGAAAGGTCAAAACCATATGACTCCCCCTCAAACTATCAGTCCTATAAAAGTTTACTTCAATGAAAATTACCTAGATGAATCAGAGGACACAAATATTACAAGAACAATCATAAATTTCATCAAAGACTTTAAGGAATTTAAAGAAAACACAAACAACTTAATGAACTTACAGAGAATGAATTCAAAGAGTGCCTGAGTGATACCCAAGAAAACAGCCATAAGGTTGAATGAAATGATAAAAGCAATCCAGGAGTAGAAAACTGAATTCAATAAAGAGAAACATTGAAGAGAACTCACGTTGAAATGAAGATAGAATTGAAAAATCCAATAACCCAATTAGAAACTCAGGAGAGTAGATCCAATAGAAGACAGAATATCAGGTCTCGAAGGCAAAAAGTACTGGAATTACTTACCACATAAGCAAGAAGTATGAAAAATACAGAAAAGAAACATTCAGGAGCTGTGGGACACAGTGAAAAGAAAAAAACACCAAACTTTTGAATTATAGGCATAGAAAAGCAACAAAAATCTGAGGACAATGGCATAGACCAGATCTTACCCAAATTTAGGAAAGACACACCCACATAGATACAAGAACACACAGAGCATCCAATAGACAAGACTATAAAAGAAACTCCCCAAGTCATATCATAGTTAAAATGCTAAGTATACATAACAAAGAAAGTAAATTGAAAGCTGCAAAAGAAAACAAACAAACAAAAAAACCCCAGCAAGTCACATGTAAAGAAAACCCTACCAGAACAGCTGATTTCTTAGTAGAAACTCTGAAATCCAGGAGCCTGTAGCACTCCAAGTCCAAAAAGACCATGCCTGCCAACTTAGGCTACTGTAACAACTCAAACTATCTGCCATAGTTGAAGGAGAAAGAAAAAAATTTCCAAGCTACAAACAGGCTAAAAAAATTAATGTACACCAAAACAATCCAATGGAAAAGACTGGAGTGAAGAGAGGAACAAGCAGAGCCAAGACACCTAGAAAGAAACAAATGAATCCTAATTGCCGAAACAATATGTCAAGGTAAAGATGAGAACTCAAGGCTTATTAAAAGGTATTAGTTGATTGAGTCACATACTCAAAAAGAAATTCAAAGCAATACAGAAAGAGATTCTGAGTGACCTGCTGATATTCTCAAGATGATTTTTCCTTTCATTTTTTGTAATCAAATGCTGTGGAGATACCAAAATGAACTCAGAGGTCACCAAAATTCAGATAGCAAAATGAGAGTAAATTCATGTGGAACTTTAAAATCTGTCTCTAAGTCAAGTCTGATCGTACAGACCAGTAATATCAGCTATTTGAGAGGTGGAGGCAGGGCAAATGCAGCCCACTAGGACTGCAGAGTGAGCTCAAGGCCAGCCTGGGAAATTGAGTAAGGCTTGCCTCAACATAAGATGCAAAAAGAGAGCTGAAGATATGTTCGATTGCAGAATGCTTTCCTAGAATGAACAAAGCCCTGGGTTCCATCCTGAGTATCTCCTACTGCCCTGCAAAATTCCCAGTGTTCAAAACTATTTGTTATGTATATCACTCTTACTAAAATTTAACCCTGATATGCCAAGTGTTAGTTATCAGAACACACCATGAAATTAATATATTTCTCTCTTTTCAAATCTAGTTAATGCTTATTGAAACCTATTTTTACCCCTTGGCTTGAGACCATAGTGTTAAGCTGAAATTGTGTCTCACCTGGCCTTTTTTTCTAAAAGAGACAAGGTTCTTAAGTATTTCCCCCTCTATGACAGAGTTCATTCACATCTGTTAGCTTCACTTCGTTAAAATCCAAGGTGCTGTGCATGAACCACATAAGCCCACTCTGAAGACAAGGCACCTAGATGGGTTGGGTACCACTCTCCATGACACACACAATGAAATACTTATAACCTCACTTCTTTGTCTTTTAGGGTCATTGGTGTTCCTAGTCTTCCTCAGAAAGTCTGCAAATAAAATATCAAGATCAACAATTATCAAGAAATGCTACTAATGGTGGGAATTATCTACTTGGAATAATCTTCTGCCCATATTTGAATTGTAAATTAAATGAGGGTTGATAACTTGGATTAAAATAATTTTCAAAATGAGATTCTTCACCATTACTCACATTTCATTAATAGAAAGCTTTCTGTTCTTACTATTCAAATGAGACATAATATGCATAAATGATCGTGTTTATAAGATAATTACCGCTATCATTTTAGAGTCTACACAGTTTATTTGGTAGGACTACAAACACTGAGTGGGATGTGATGAGCACTGGGGATGCTGGGCTTGCCTCATTGCCAGTCTCATGAAGTACCTCATAAGCCTCAGTGTCTTCACCCTGGCAGCGAGAGCCCAAGACTAATTTTACCTGTACCTAAGTGAGCTCTGAGCTTCAAGGACCCAGTGGGAGACCACAAATGGCCTCTAATCAGAGATCACAGTGATTTTTGTCATTTTCTAATAGAAATATAGAACCGAGGTGATCTTAAGATTAACTATATAATCCAAATAAAAATAAAACAATTTCTGACCCAATCCCCACTGTGAAAGGCTGAGCAGAAGCAGATACTAAGATCCTGGACGTATGTTGTTCTGAGAATGGTGAACAATTTGACATCTGTAGGAGCCCAGGCTAAAAATGTGCCTGTGGCCATTTCAGGGTGCAATACTTGGCACCTGAATAGTGTGCAGAAGGCAGCGAGCGTCTGGTTGTTTTTAAAATGTGCATCTTCAGAAAGAGCTATGCATTCATATAAATGTAAAAATACACTTTAGGCTATAATCTTCTGGGGAAAATGCTGTGACCTTCTCTGGTTCCCAGTAAGGTCCATTTTTGATACTGATATTTTTCATAAAAACAAAATGAAAAAATTCCCCATTTCCTCAACTCTAGTCCAGAATACCTTCCATTTTTGAGTGGGTTTGGCTTTTTTTGTTTTTTTATTTTTCGAGACAGGGTTTCTCTGTGTAGTTTTGGTGCCTGTCCTGGATCTCGATCTGTAGACCAGGCTGGCCTTGAATTCACAGAGATCCACCTGGCTCTGCCTCCCGAGAGCTGGTATTAAAGGCGTGTGCCACCACCGCCTGGCTGGCTTTCTTTCTTTCTTTTTCTTTTTTTTTAATAAGGAAAATCTGTTAAACTTTGAGATTATGTCCCAAAAGAGGATTTGGAGAGAAGGAATTTATCATTCTTTTTTCTGAGTGAATGTTCACAAAACTCTTAACTCTTATTGCTACAGACATTCCTACTAACAGAAGTTTGAGTAGAAACATGAGAATCAACCTCCACATAGACAATGCGGTCTGGTCCTCCATGGATACAATTTGTAGGGTAGAATGGGAGGACCACTCTGCTTCCATAGTCTGAGAGAAAACTTAAGTGTTCAGAGAGGTGCCATGTACAACACATGTTCTATATACATGATGGATATACACTGGGTAAGGAGGTTGTAATTTCAACAAGAGAAACATATACTGTATTTGATATGTTAAAACCATTTCCTTCCTCTCAGATATCAGATAAACATGGGTGGATGGCAGTCAGGGGTCTGTGGCTGATTGCCAAATCCTTCGCTGCTTCAAGGTCTGAAGGATAGCTAGACCCCAGCAATGTTTCTCTGCTCCCCACAGGGCCCGTGTGCTTCCTTAGGCTTCTGTGCTCTTCAGTCTGATAGTTTATGTTCACGCTTTTCTAGAAGCCTCGAGAAATAAGAGCACAGTCACACCGTTTCCTAACCACAGCCTGAATTTCTGAAAGGAAACTCAAGAATTCCATTAAATTTTTTTTAATATGAAAATAGAAAAGTCCCAGATTTGAAGTTATAAACAATATGAAAGACAAGGAAACCAAAGCATGTGCTGTATTTGATTAATTAGGAAAAAATAGAATTTCACATTTAAATGACATATAATTCAATTACATAACAAACATGTAAGCATTTAATATAAAACTAAATAATTAAAATTCTCTCATCTCCCTATTCATTTCTCAACCCAAATGCCAGTCCCACCTGTGACAAAGGGAGAGTTACCAACGCGCCTGTGGGAAGCCCATTCCTTCTAAGAAAGAGTAAGTGGTGGCTTCCTACTCTCCTACCAGGTTCTTTGCAAAAATAAAATTTGGATTTCACGAATGCAAGCAGTAGACTGTGGTGTTGCATCACTGTCTGTTTGAGAAAGGCTGGGATGGGATGGTTTCAGAGGACCCTGAGTTCCCACCACCACTGTGCCTGGTCAAATCTGTACCCCACTGTCAGATTCAACAGTCTGACCCATCTGTGAAACTAGTGATGTCTTTATTGGTATCACAACTATAGGCTCATTATAAAACCACACAAAGTTGCAACATTGTGCAGGAAAGATTTGTTTCTTAAGAAAATAATTTAATTGCTTGTAGCACTCTCCAGACTCATTTTAGCTGTTGCACATGTATCTTCTTGTCATACTCTGGCTGTCCATGAACACAGGGTCCAAGGAGGCCACCTTGGCAGCGATGAAAGAGTGGATACAGTGGAGGACTGCCGTCAAGTCCTGGAACTCCAGCTCCTGAGGGGAAATGAAACAGGACTGTGGTCACTAGGAAGATGCACTGTGGCAACTTTTAGCAAACTCAGCTCTTTGTATACGCCAAGACTTTTCCTCAAATACAAATACAAATTGAAACAGGTAGCGTTAAAATAAAAGCAGCATAGCACAATCAACATATATCTATAAAGATGGATATACTGTTATTTGTATTGATACTCTGACAATGCAGGATATGTTTCCTTGATTCCATACAGGGTAACATGCAATCCTTTTATGTGGCATTCTTCCTTAGTTTGTGCTCAGTCTTAGGTAGACCTGAAGATCACAGTTATGATTTATGTCTTCACCATAAGCTGGAAATGCCAGGGCTAACAGTGACATTTAGATGAGGGTCCCATGGCAGCAGAGCTAGCTGCTTGCTTACCCTGGTTGCAAGTGTGCACTCTCCCATGTGTGGCTTGTAAAGGGCATTTTTGGAAGAACAACCAGAGCCCTACTGTGTGAGCAGCACACATAGGGGGAGACCTTGGTTCCTTCTCATCCAGTTGTCATGCCAGCAAAAGAAAGAAATGATGCTCAAGAACAGGATTCTTTAGGAGATTGTGGGCTTCACCACCACAGAGCATATGAAAAATACCTTAAATTCCTGGGTCCTTACTTCTCCACCTTGAAGCTCTCAAACACTAATGGAGATCAGAGGAAAGGTTTACAGAGCCAACTCTCTTCTACCATGGCTTCTGGGATCAAATGCAAGTCCTGCTAGTCTCTGGGATTATTCCTTTCGTTACATACTTCTCCACGTGAAGTCCCCAGCCCAAAACAGCAATGAACTTTCAAGACTAAACAGAAGTTTAACAGTCTTCAAATGTCATGCTGTTATTGGGGAAATCAATCTTCTTGTCTTGGGATACAAATCCATCCAAGAGGCAGAAGAGATGTTCTGAGTGCATCATTGGTGTTTTTATTTTTTCCTCTTCTGTGTTGTTCCAAATGTGGTGAAGAACAGCACAATTCCCTTAAGGTGACTTCAATTATTGACACTCTATTTATTCAGTTTCAGCAAAATTCTGTCATATTCTAAACTGCCGAGACAATGCCACAGAAAAAGCTTCGTTATTTTCAGGAGGTCAGCTCCTGTCGGTTTCCCAGTTGTGCTCCTTGAAGCCTGGCTAGGCAGGACCTCTGGGATGGGAAGTCAGCCCCCCTCCCTAGGGGAGGGATGGAGCTCTCCATGGGTGCTGAAGCTCCCCCGACATGAACCCCTGATAGTTTTACTAAGACATTTCTCTTCTTAAAGGTAAGGATTCCATATTTCAAATCCAGCCTCTACCTTCCTTTACAAAAGACTCCACCCAAACGCCTTTCTTGTGATCTTGTCCATTCCTTTCAGAAACTACTCCTGTCCTGGGGCTCAGGACCTTGAACCAACCAGAGTACCATGGGAGGGTGACTGGGAATGGGACAGGAGTTTTCACTTTGGAATGACTAAGAATTTGTGCTGCTGGTACAAGGAGAAAACAAGCCAGCTGGAAAGTGAGTCCCATGGAGTCATACCTGGCCAGAGACAGAAAAGACATGGGGATGGGGTCCCTTGTACTTGGAAGCTGTCCTCCACCTCCTTATGCCTGTGAATAAAGGGCTCTTTTTTCTTTCTGCCCATGTAAGATCCTCCTTTGCATGCAGGTGAAGCTTAACTTTGATTTTACCTGCATGATTTCTTTTTTTGTCTGAGTAATAAACAAGATACTCCAGATGCTTTGGGTTCTCTTTATATTGCTAAAGGGGTTTCATAGTGAAGCTCTGTACTTGCTACACAGCTGGCCCCATCCTGGTTGTTTGTAGGATCCATGAGTTACCTAGCTCCTTTGCCCGATGTCAACCCACCCACTTGTTCTCCGCATACCATGAGGTGGTAGTCAGGATGTTTTTTATTAGGTATGATTTTTCTTCAGAAGAGAAGAAGACCAAGTAATATTCTAGAACAAACATAAGATTCTTGCAAGCTTAACAAAACTCTACTTCAATCTGTGCATGCTCTTGGTAGTAATCTCCTTCTCAAGGGGACAGTAGAAGAATAAAGCCACAAAGTCCACATCATGTGCATTTCAGCAGCTGTTATGGGAACTGAAAATTGCTTTACAAATTCCTACAATTTACTCAATAACAGCATGACACACTGGAAGAAGAAGAAGAAGCCAGATGGCCACTGACATTGAGGCACAGATCCCAAAGCAGACTTGGTATTTCCTGGCATGGTAAATTGAAGCCACATCAAAAATTTTTGAAAAGACTATCACAAGAGAGTTGCTCCATGCAAAATCTCAGCCAAGAGCATCCCCATCCAGGAATCAAGTGTAAGTCTCTGGAGCAGGAGTCAGTCTTGGTCCAAATACAGCATCTGAACATTTCCCAGAACATCTCTGGTTCAACCAAGGGCCAAGTCATGACACCCGCTGCTCCGCCTAGATCCCAAGCAGACTCTGTCAGCAGGGCCATTCTGAATTGCAGCCTTGCAGGTGTTGTTGACCACAGCCATGTTTGGTCTCTGTTGAACAGGACATTCATGGTGATCCCAGTGCCTTTCTGTGACTGCCACTTCCTGCTGACCCCTCAGACATGTGTCCCAGGTGGGTGGTGTGCTGCCACCTTCTACTTGCTAAGAAAGAGAATCTACAACTGACTAGAAAGACAGACAGCAGGGGCATAGCAACCTCCTCCAAATTTGTCTGACAGGCCTGAGTTTTATTTAATAAAGATAATTCTTTTCAAAACTAGTTTTGAGAAAAGCAGGAAAAGCCAGATAGTGTCTGTAACTGTAGACTGTTGCTGCCCCTTCCCCACATCAGCTAGGCTGTCTTCTCCAGGAGTGTCATATGTACTTTTCAAACATATTTGACATTTTAGGAACGTGGGCCTCCAGATGAGCACTACCCACCAGTGCAATGGAGCCATGAGAAGCCCAGGTTAGGATAAAAACTTTCTTGGTGGGATGTGATGTATTATACTGTTAGAAAAGGTACTTCTATGTTTAATCATAGCTTATTGTCAGCGGCGATAACACTTTCAGTATTGTTCAGTCTCTGAGGTGAAGTGCACCAATCTGGAAAGAAGCCCTGAAGACCTGTGCCTGTTTACCTGTGCCAGCCCAGGCTGGAGCTAAGTTGATGGTCAATGTCCCTGACACATAGATATCACTTTGCAATTCAGACTCTGGCTCCTCCATTTACTGGCCCGCAGTCAGGCAGTGGGACATTGTCAACTGCTCCCAATGTTCCTGACATTTGTTACTTGCTCTGCTGTCAGTTGTTCTTCCATGATTGTCTTTAAATTATGGAAAATTTTCTGGAAATTTACTCCATGAATCTGGTGTGGTTCTGATCAAATACAGTGCATGGCTGAGCTGGGCAGCCTGGAGACTGTGTACCTAGGAGGTAGTTTCCCGGTCAGTGAAACTGTGACCCCACACCCGTGTGTGGGTTCCCGTGTGACTGAGGTGGCTGAGAACAGGGGACAGTTACTGGAGTCCATCAGTGTGAGATGGATATTATTTATTTATCAACATAATTAATAACATTTCCTCAGCCTCAAAACTACCACATAAACTAAGATAAAAATCAGAGGCTACCACTTCCAGTTTCCAAATGAGGAAATGGACTTTCAAAGGAATCTTCCAAAGTGACAAGGCCAATTAGTTGCAGAAATGTCACTTGAAGTCAGGAATCCAAGAAGCTTCATAGGGCTTCCCTGCTCCCCCTGCTAGAGTTTTAGGATCTTGGTATTATAGTGTCACCATGTTGCAAGCTATCTGAGAATGAGAGTTACCCTGAGAAACCCTGAATCACCACAATTCCTGAGATTCTCTCAAGTGCAGAATCTCAGCTTTACCCAACCTCCTTCCTCTCTGGCTGTCTTTGTCCTGGGCATACCTTGAGGACTGGGTAGTACTGTTGAAGGGACACTCACAAGCCAGATGCCATCATCTAGGAGGAACAGGGAACAGGGCCAGTGACCCCACAGTAAAGGGGCCAAGGAATAGAGGAGGTGATTTTGATGGTACCTTCCCATGTATATCCTTGAATAAACAATTCTGAATTTGGGCAGGGCTAGGGATGGAGGCATTACAGAAAAGGGCAGGAACCAAGGACCAAAAGCAAAAAGTATGTGGTAGCTGTGGGTCTGTGTATGGGTACCATCAGGGAGAAAACATGCTGGGTAGGTTCTGGGAGGTCTCTAAGCTCACAGCACAGAGGACAGCCCTTTAGGAAGTACAGGGAGCTATGGGTGGAGGGTGTATAGGAGAGAGACAGAATCATGTCTGTAGGGCAAGGACACCTGTCCAGTATGAGACAGAGGGAAGGCCTAGGGATAGGAATTCCTGTCAGAAGAGGACAAGAGTCCATGAGAAAAGATGAGGCCGTGAGTTAGAATAGAAAGGAAGCCAATGCCAGCTTTGAGAGAGGGCAGATAAATGCAGGATTAGTGTTCTTTGGCACAACCCAGACTAGAGACACCCCAAAGTACCAGAGAGATATGCTCTCCAGGAATGGTGAAGCAACCAGTGGGGGGAGGGGGAGAGAGAGAGAGAGAGAGAGAGAGAGAGACAGAGAGAGACAGAGACAGAGAGACAGAGAGATAGGGACAGAGAGGGGGGAGGGAGGGAGGGGAGGGTATGAGCAGGAGAAGGGGAGATCAACTCAATGCACTGATCCAACTCAAGGAGCTGGAGGGACTAATGGAGAGTGTAAGAATACACTGCTCTCCTCAAAGGAGGCTCCTCTTCTAGTTTTATTTGGAATTTAATTGCATCAACTGGGGTAGACTGTGGTTTTACCTTCTGGGTCTTAGCTACATGTGGTTCACTGTAACATAAAGACTGGACATTTTCAGAAGTCAAAAATTTGTAGGTTTTTAAGTTGCCCACTAATCTATGCAGCTCGATGGAATCATACACTGTCTCCTCCATCTTACCCAGGATGTGAGACATCATTCTGTCCACTGTCTACACACTGCCTACACTG